TGTCTTACTCAGTTCAGTAAACGAAGGTCCCAGTAAATAAGACTGACCAACATGAGCTTCCTCCGCTGTGACCACCCACTCCGTGTCCTGATGCCCCCGTGCTCACCTGTGCACTCAGAGGCCACTGTAGTTGTATTTTTTTAGTCCACTAGAGGGGGCTCTTCAGACGGCCTGTCATCAGCATGGACAGGTGCTCCGCAGCCAGGGTGTCCCAAGGTGGGGGTACATCAAAGGCACTCAGACACAACCTCCAGCCCCCAGCAGCCCCGGTCCCCTTCATTCTGTCTCCCATTTTGTCCTGCCGGAGCTCCACTCAAGTCACCCAAGAGGCACAGCTCACCGGTGACAAAGTGCTCTAGCTCCTGCAGGGCCCGCCCCTGGGCTTTTGTCCTTGTCATGTACCAGACATCATGCTGGCGTTTCAGACCAGCATCCTTGCAAACCAGGGTCTGAGACAGAATCTTCCGGTTACTGTTTCCAGACGGTCCTAAAACCACAGCAGCGTCCCTCAGCCACGGCCTCCCTTTCCGCAGTTTTGGTCCCACCGCACTCCGGCCACAGCATCAGAAAGTCAGCGGCAGCCTGATGGCACGTCGCACGCCCCTGTCATTTACCTCCCCCACGTGACCACGAGAGGAGGAAGGGTGGGGAATCTACGAGAGACACGCCGCGTTCAGACAGCTGTTCTCACAGCGTCACCACACTCGTCATGTCTTACTGTTAGTTTCTGTTAACCTCTCCCTGTGCCTGGCTTGTGGACGAGCCGTGTCGTAAATGCACGTGTAGGGTTCGGGCGTCCACGGGGGGTTTGCACTGTACCTGCACGGATGAGGGAGGGACTGCTGAATACGCATGTCTAGCATGCCCCTTTCTGTTTCCAGTCAAGTCCTCGCCGAATGGTTATACTTTGTGTATCGTGGTTTACACAGCGCTTTCTGCCAAAGCTCGGTGACCTCGCCGTGTGCTGTGGTTCAGACTGACGTGCTGGGCGCGCCCGCCCACGTGTTCATGCCGTGGCAGCAATTCTGTGTCATGCATAAGACGGCGAGCCTTACTTTCTGGTACGGATGCCGTGGTTTTGTGGAACGTGTAGGTTTGTTTCTGATGAGTACGCGCGGTGGGCTCACACCTTTCCTGCCTGTACACAGTGGTCCTTTTCTTGAGAGGAAGTGGGGCCTCGGGCATGGGCGTGCTGGTGTCTGGGGCGTTAAAGGGGGGGCCCATCCGAGCTAACCGGAGTGTCCCCGGGAGCCACGTGACCCTGAGAGTCCACAAGATGTGTGCACCCTGGTGTCCATCCATGTGAACGGTCTCACCCATTTTATCGGCGGAGGAGTCGCACGATGCTGGGGCGCTGCCGGGTGGTGACCTCAGCCTGAGGCCGCACACCAGCACGTTCCCCCTCTGCTTCGATGCTTCGCTTGGTGCGGGACTCGGGCATCAGGAGCGGCTTCCCACCCCCAATGGCAGGTCTGCCCCATCTGGCAGCAAGTACGTATTCTGAATAAAATAGGCACCTTGTCCATTGGCTTCAAAATGTTGAGATGAAGCAGCTTTATTCCAGAAGCTCCTCAGGACCCCAGCTTTGGGGGCACATGCAGGTGGCTGTGACACGGTTTTAGTTGTGGTTGTGGTTGGTCAGTAATGCACTCGTGTTTTGTCCAAAGCAGGACCCACAGGGTTAATGGAGCTCTGTGCTCTGCCTGTAAGTCCTCGCAGGGCGTCGCGCCCTGCGGGAGTCTGCATCACAGCCTTGGGTTTCAATAGGCGAGCTTTAGTCACGTGTGTGTTTGTTTGTTTGTTTGTTTGTTTTTTAACATTTATTTATTTTTGGGAGACACAGACGGAGAATGATTGGGGGAGGGGCAGAGAGAGAGGGAAACAAAGAATCCAAAGCCGGCTCCCAGCCGTCGGCACAGAGCCTGACGTGGGGCCTGAACCCACAAACCGTAAGATCATGACTTGGGCCGAAGTTGGACGCTTAACCAGCTGAGCCACCCAGGAGCCCCACATGTGTGTTCATTTTAAGCAAACACACAAGGGAAGTGCAGAATGGAGGTCTCACTGTCCGTTCCGAGGCTGATGAGCAGTTTTTATGGTGGGATGTGTGGGCTGTGGCTCCAAAGTAGAAAAGTTCCATCCTTCAAGTTAAAATGTACAACAACTTATTTTGAAAGTTAAAAGTTCAGTATCCTATTAAAACAAAATTAGCTTAGAGTCAGATAAGTAAACAAAGCGTTTGCCATATGTAATCAAAGGACCAGTCTGTGATGCCCCAGCACACGTCTGAGAAGCACAGGGAACACTGTGTGGGGAGGAAGAACAAACCAGCACTGGCCCCAGTGCTGGCCCAGGTGGGTGAACCCCTGCCTCCCACCCCAGCCTCCCTGGCCCTTTGTGAGGTCTGCAGCTAAGGTCCACAAACAGGAACAGCAGGGCCCTAGGGGCGCCTAGCCAGCTCAGCCGGGAGAGCATGCGGCTCTTGATCTCAGGGTCGTGAGTTCGAGTCCCTCGTTGGGCCTAGGGCTCACTTAAAAAAAAAAAACAAACAATTCCTTGGAGGGAAGAAGTTGGTTCATGGAAGTCAGCACCATGCAGCAGGGAAGGCCAAGCGATGCTAGTGGGGGTTTTGAGCATTTTTTTCTCCTGTGTCCCCGGCTCTGGCCCTCATTTTGGAGGGATGTACGTCTCTCCCCCAGGCTTTGCTCTGGGTCAGCCCCTGTCATGGAGCTGTATTGCCACTCTGGAGTAGGCACCCAAAACACAGAGGGTCTGGGGACAGGAGCCTGTGGCCCAAAGCATATGGAGGCTCCCTTCCCTGCCTCTTAGCCCCATGGGTCACCCCAGCCACACCATATTGGGCAACAGCTCAGGGTGCTCTGAGAGAAGGGCCCCCCCGGTCTGTTCAGGAGCCAACCCGGGCCCCAGGCTCACCTCCAGGAGCACAGACACGGAAAACACCCTGAGAGGCTTGGGAAAGACAGCGTCCACGGAAGCTGAGGCGGAACTTTCTGTCTTATCCACTCTGATCAGGCTAAACCTGCTACAGTGCACGCGTGTATTCCCAGAGATGGTAAGAGGGTGCAGTATTGGAGCGTCCGGGGCACAGTCTGAGTGAGCAGCAGCAGGCACCCACACAAGCCAGCCCGGACGTCGGGCTCTGGAGACCAGCACCTTAAGGCATCTCAGTGGCCATGCTCCCTGGGGAGAAGGGAGCAGCCTTGGAGCGAATGCAAAACGACGAACGACGGTGGGAAATTCAGAACTGGAAAATACGCTGTCTGTACACTTGTCCCCGAAACTGGCAGGAGACAGTGCCGGTAGGAGGAGGAAAGGGCCCACGATCAGGGCTGCAGCTGCCACCTGAGGCAGTGGTCAGAGCCGCGGGCACATCTGGTCGGCATCAGAGCTTCACTCAGCGTGCGTGCGGGCCGTCCGAGTCCCACAGAGGGGGAGGAGACAGGCGCGAGACAAGACTCTTGGAGGAACGGTGCCCGAAAACCTCCAGGCTTTGGTGAAAGGCATAAATTTACTGGTTTCTGATGCTGTAAACTGGCTGGCCCGTCGTCGGATTTCCTGAAAGCGGAGTCACGTGGTACACCTGTGTCTGCTCCCGGCTCCCTTCTCCCCGGGGCCACGGCAAGCTGCGTGGGAAAGGCCGCGTTTGAGAAGGGCCCCGCGGACTGCGTCTGGAGAGGAAGCCCCAGGCAGGGACATGAGGGCAGGGCGTGTGGTGGGATTTGGTTTTTGTTGGCCAGAGATTACTCCGAGAGTTACTTGAGGCTAGTCACGCGAGGCCAGTCCCGGGCGTGGTTGAGCCGAGTCGTGTGGGTCTGATCCGGGGTGTCTGATCCCGGGTGTTGTGCGCGCGCTCTGTTAGCGGTAAGTTCTTGCAGAGGTTTAGCTGCTTGTTTTCACGACAGCCTGGGTCTTTTCCTCTGTGTGCAGCCCTTTGGGCGGCGAGGCTCGCCTTACGAGTGCACAGCCTGGGCAGCCTCACGGTCACCGCTGAGCGTGATCAGGCACAGGTGGGGCAGGGGCAGAGACATCTCGGTAACTTTTGCCAAGTGACCTTTCTGTTCACACGCTTCCATTTGGAGCAGGTACTCACGGACCCACTAACACAGATAAGAGATTCAGGGATCTCCATGGGCAAGCAGGCTTCCCAAAGTCTTTCAGCAAAAAAACCACTGTGAGCGAATTCCTCGTGCCTTAACGTGGGGTCCTGTTGCGTTCTAGGAAGCAGCAGCTCTGTAACTAATGTCATGAGCTTCCCAGGGATCTTGAGATAATTAACAAATACTGAGCTTTAGAAACAACACCTGAGGTTGAAGACAATAACGTGAAGATAGCTTTTTAATACTAGGATAGTGTGGACATACATCCCGATTTATTTCTCGTGTCCCAGACTGTCCTGTACACTCCATGAGGTCAGTCTGGGAACAGGCACGCCACACCGAGGCCACGGAGAAGGAGCTGTGGCCGGCGGCCGCGTGCCCGGCTCCCGGGCCGCTGCAGCCCAGAGAACGGCAGGCTTTGTCCAGGCCTGGGCAGGCTGGGGCAGAGCACGTGGGCTTGGGCAACGCTGCCTCTGTGCCCTTTTCTCTGCGTCATCCTGCGGGAAAGTAAAGCTTAATGTGTCTAAACACCATCTCAGTTTCATTAAGAGAGAAGGTCGCCTGTTGGAGTGACTGGGAAGCTTGCGCTTGCGGCCGAGCAGAGATGTGCGCCTGTGTGGCTGGTACCTCGTCCGGTCATTTAGAGTAGTCCGTTCATACGTGTTTCTGCATACGCGTCTCCCTCCATCCGACTCGCGACTATCCCGAGTCACCAGGACGCAGGGTTGTCCACCCCTAGTCCCAGCCAGCGCATACAACACGGTCACTTTCGCATGGCCCACAGGGGATTGTCCGGGGTGTCGGGTCCCTGTCTCTGCGAGTTCCGCCCCGGAGCGAGCAGGAGGGGTAGAGGCACGTGCGGGACCCATGCCTGTTTTGCAGGGTCCCCACTCCTGGTGGGCTGGGCCGCCCACCTTTCCAGGCGTCTGTTCTCCCACACCGTCCCCCTCAGCTGCCTTAGGTCTCCTCAGCTCCTCGTGGGCCTGCGTCTTCGGGTGAGTGATGGGAACAGTTTCCAGGGTGTTTGATGTGATCTGTGTGGGCCTTTTGTTTGAGAGACTTCAGTAGTTAATTCGCCATAAAATGAGGTTTTTGTCTTTACACGCTTGTTTTTCAAGTCTTTCTTAAGATTCTGAAATATGTATTCTAGCAACTTTTAAATAGTATATATAAAGTAAGTGTATATAAATAGTATACATAAAGTAAGTTCGTTGCAGATTACTGGTTTTCAAAAAGTGCGTAGTTACTTTTTTATAAGAGAAAGCCCTGGAAAGGTGTCCATTGTTCTGAAGCAGATACGTCTATGTGAGTAAAACAGAACGAGGGAGAGCAAGTTGAAGCATAACTTGAGTACGACCAGATTCTGACATGTATCCACAATTTTAGCTTGGCCGTGCAGGATGTTTCTGAACCTTCCAAACACCTGGCAGAGCGGGCACGCGCGTTGGTTGGCCGTCCGCCGCGCTGGAGGAGCGAGGAGACTTCTTTCCGGTCAGCGGCACTGCTGACGCTTTATGGGTCACTTCGCGGCCTCCGAGGCAGTGATGGTACTTTGGTGGTCAGACCTAAAATACCTGATTTTTTAAGTTCCTGTCTTTCTCTTGAAAAGGTATGATGCAGAGTCAAAGGCCTGAAATGTTTTCAGAGGAAAATTTAATACTAACGATTCTAATAGATTCGTGCATCAACACGGAGTACGCGCAGCCAAGTGAATATAGCGGTGACGCCTGAACGTAGCTGCTTAGAATTAGCTCTGTGCTTTCTGCTAAATTCCTTTAGCTCAAACCCCGTGTGTCACCTCTAAGGACCTTGCAGTGAATAACCTGTTGATGAAGCTGTTGCTTTGTTTAGTTAGCTGTCGCTACACTGTTTCTGTATTTGATCGAGACCCGAGACCTGCATGTGAGCTCCTTGGGAGTATGTGACCGACGGATCGCGGGTCTGGGGTTGAAGCTGCTCCATGTCGGAACGTTCCCTCTGTCAGTCACAGGCTTTGTCCCTCGGTGTCCCTGCGGCCTTGCGGTCCGTGCAGAGCAGTTCACGGCCCCGTGGGGGTGCCCGCTGCCTGGGAGGGGAGGCGTGAGCAGCCCCGTCCCCGAACGGGACTGGCGGGGGGCAGGAGGGCAGGCCCTTGACCCTTTTTGTAAGGAGAGGCTGCAGTTGTCCAGCCTTGCCGGGAGGTGGGTCGGGGCGCCACCCAGTTGTTGGTGGGAAAAATCAAAGTTTTCGTGAGTTAAATATGTCTCACCACCTGCCTTTCCTTGGAAAGGAATATTCTTTCCTGGAATAAGCTGAAAACCTGGTGTTTCTGAATTAATGCATTTTTTAAAATTTAACGTTTAAGTTGCCATTACATCCCTGTAGTTCCAAGTTCACAAAGTCTAAAAGCTGCCGTGAGAGCACCGTCAGGGTTCCCACAGACCCCGCTTTCCCCCTGGCTGTGGCCAGTGCCAGGTTCCTGCGGCAGGTGGGCTGGCCGTTGGGGAAACGGCGCCCTCACACCCAGTGGCTCTTGTCCTACCCACCGGCCCATGCTGAGCTGTTGAGACTCGTCCAGGAAAGCACAGCACTCCTCTGCTCTTGCCCAGATGTGTGGGGGCCACACTGAGTGGCTCCGACACTGCCTGGACCCGCACACCCACACCCGTCAGATGCCAGGCACGAGGGGGAGGTCCCGGGTTGTCCCCCATACTTGTGACCGACCAGCTGCGAATCGGGGTTCCATCATTTGCTAGGGCAGCTCCGGAAGTCAGGGACACTCTTGCTTACGCTGAGTGGCTTACCGTGTCATAAAGGATGTGACAGGACACAGGGGAACGGCCAGATGAAGAGCCCGCTGGGTGAGGTCCCAGCGGGTCCTGAGCGTAGGAGCTTCTGTCCCCATGGAGTTGGGAGCGGGCCACCCTGCCGGGACGTGGGTGCATTCGCCAACCCAGGAGCTCCCCGCACCCCGCACTTTGGGGATCTTTGTGGAGGAGGCGTGATGGGTCATGAACTCAGTCTCCAGCCCCCTCCCCTCCCTGAGGACGGGTGTGGGGCTGTAGGCCCCAGGCGTCTGCTCTGGCTGGGCTCTGGTGACCAGCCCCATCCAGAAGCCCACCTGCAGTTGCCTCATTAGGAAAAAGGATGATGCTGTCAGCCATCAGGTTGAAGGGGCTTGGGGGCTCTGTCAGGAACCAGGCTCAGAGACCAATAAGCATCTCCTCCTGTTGTACCCACTTTAAGCAGCTTTAAAGATCAGATAAGGGGCGCCTGGGGGCTCAGTCAGGTAAGCGTCCGACTCCATTTTAGCTCGGGTCATGATCTCACGGTTCATGGTTTCGAGCCTCACGTTGGGCTCTGTGCTGACAGCACGGAGCCTGCTTGGGATTCTCTCTCTCCGTACCTCTCTGTCCTTCCCCTGCGCACGCGCTGGAACTCTCTTGCTTTCTCTCTCAATATAAATAAGCAAACTTAAAAAAAATACTTTCAGATGAATGAAAA